GTGGATATTAACGCCCCAGTATAGTGACAGGGACTCAATACTGCTCAGTGAGTGCGGTCTTTTAGATGAGATGTTAAACCGAGGTCCTGACTCTCTGTGGTCGTTAAAAATCCCAGGATGTCAGAAAAAAAATAGGGGTTTAACCCCGGCATCCTGGCCAAATTTGCCCACTGGCCACTGTCCATAGTGGCTTCCTAACCATCCCCATATCATAATTGGCTTCATCACTCTGTCTTCTCTCCACCAATCAGCTGATGTGCGGTCTGGCGAAATATGGCTGGTGTCGCGTCATTCAGGTGGATGCTTTTCTGTGTCCAGAAAAGCACTATATAAATGTAAGGAATTATTAATTATTATTTTTATTATTAAACCTTGAATAAAAGTTATTATATTATTTTCTATTTCTATTATACTTTCTAAGTTTAGTTACTATACTCTCAAAATCATTCCACAAAAAGCCCTCACAACTGTTAGAAAAGGAGTCGCCATTTAGAAAAAAAGGTCAGAATTGCTCGATTTAAAGTACAAAAAAAATCAAAACTAACCATAAGATTTTGTTAGCTCACATTGCTAGTTTTGGTGGTGAACAATCTGTGCACGCCATTGAGAAAAAAATTGTCTGCCCTTGTAATCTAAAATAAAATAAAAAAGGCAAAACCCTATTTGTTTTCAGTTTAATTCTCAGATTACGTCTGTTTGAGGTATTGGGTGTGGCTAACATACTTGACCACACCCCTTTAACTGACATAAATGATGAGCAGGAGGTGTCTTTTAGGTTTAAACTCTTCTAAAACCCATTTCCGTTCTTTCTTGAACGAAATGCCCACTTTACTACATCCAATCAGCTTGCTGTGGACAAAACAAGCCACGCCTTTTTTATTTAATATTCCATTTCTCTAGGAACTGCATCACAATATGAAGACAAAAAAACAAAAAAACAAAAAAAAACAATTGCAGCTTCCGCTTCATGCGGTGTTTAAGATAGTGGTGGTTCCCATTTAAAAGTAATTTAAAGTAAAAGTTGCAAGGTACAAATTAGCATGTAACACCTTTTATATTCTTCCCAAGTTATATGCTGGCTTAAATCTTCACAAGCTAGTTTGAGTCTTTAAAGTCTTCTGTGCAAGGCTGCAGATGACCATGTTCACAGTCTGTGATTTTTAGGCAGGTGTTTGGTGTCGATTCTGACGTGCGTTACGATACAGTTACAGAGCTTTCACCCGACAGCTGCTGTGATGTGGAAAACTTAAACATTCCTTCACCAATCCTGCCTCCACACCTTTATCGTCTTCTCTTTTCCGCAGTCTGATCCAACTCTAAAACCTCAATGCCAACCATCCTCTCCCTTCCCGCTGTCGCCATGGTAACGTCAATCTGATCCCACCCCCCATCCGATGAGAGCTATTTTTAGACTGGCTGAAATCCCCCTCCACCCCAAAAAAAAGCTCCCGCTGTCTGTATGTCTGTCTGTTTCCCCGAACACCAGCTTTGTGTCTTATCAGAGGTACAGATTTCTGCCCCGGAGCTCAACAATCACTTCAAACCTCATGCAAAGAGTTTAGGGCGAGACACTGCAAGCGAAAACAGCTTTTTTTATTGCACCATTTAATTTCGAGATGAAGTGTTTTTCAGTCTCTTGTAAAGGACATTTCTGAAATTAAAGGTTAAACGTTTCTTTTATCGAACTGTATCAGTGTGTGTTTGTTGATTACAATTACACTATATACTTTAAAGGTTGTTTTCACAGAGCCATAAACCTCCACTTTAGCAGCACTTACAGTCAATCAAATGACAGATTATACAGACGCCAGATATAATTTTTGTATTTCTTTTATGAGTGGATTCAGGCCACTGTAGTTCAATTATGTAAGCGAGGAATTGTAAAATAAAGTGAACTATAACATGTTATACCTAAAGATTAATCGTAAATGCACTACAATTCGACTTGAAGTGAAGAAGCAGCAAGTCTGGGAAAATGCTCAAATACTTTAAACCATGAAAACTTGAAATTAAGTTCCCATTTTAAACTATAGGGAATTGACTGTGATGTGAGAATTGCTGAAAGTGTCGGAAAAATCTTGGTTTGACTTTTCATACAGCAAACTTTACAGTTTTATTTATTTCTATATTCTGAGAATGTTACAGAATTTGTTAATATACAGTTTGCCTGATTTTATTAAACAAGATTTTTTTTGGCTGTTTGCAATGTGTTTCTGCAAAGTAAAACGTGATTACTTGACTTTAGTTTAGAATTTAGTTTAGAGCTTTTTTTCAGTGTGAATTAATAAGAGATGGAAAAAAATTAACCTTGCTTCATCTGAATAATTAAAATGAACCATAGCATGTAACACTCACATATTCTTCTTAAATGAACAACAATTCAGCTTGAAGTGAAGCAGCAACAAGTCTGGGAAAATACTGAACTTCAGGTTTGCATGGATTAAAGTATTTAAATTTACATTTTACTGAAGTGAACTGTGATGTAAAAAACGCTGAAAGT